AGATGAGGTCTCGCCAAGTTGCCCAGGCAGGTCTCGAACCCGCGGGCTCAGGCAATTCACTCACCTCAGCATCCCAAAGGCACGGGATTATAGGCTGAGCCACTGAGCCTGGCTCCAAAACTTTTTAAAATTAGCCAGTTGTAGTGGTGTGTGCCTGTAGTCCCATCTACTCATGAGGCTGAGGCGGGAGGATCACCTGAGTCCAAGAGGTCGAGGCTGCAGTGAGCAGTGATTGTGCCACTACAATCTAGCCTGGGCAGCAGAGTAAGACACCAACTCAAAAAAAAAAAAAAAAAAAGGATCTACACTATTTATGGTCAAGTGTGGTGGCTCACTCCTGTAATTCCAGCACTTCAAGAGGCTGAGGTGGGAGGATCGCTTGAGGCCAGAAGTTTAAGGTCAGTCTGGGCAACACAGCAATCATAGCTCACTGCAGTCTTGAATTCCTGGGCTCCAGTGAATGATCATCCTGTCTCAGCTTCCTGAATAGCTGGGACTATAGGTACATGCTACCACGTCCTGCTAATTTTCTCTTTTAGAGACAGGGTCTTGACCTGGGCCTCCTAAAATGCTAGGATTAGAGGTGAGAGCCACCACACCTGGCCTGCAGCATTCTTGACTCTCCCTGCTGGTACATTCACATCAGCACACAAACATCTCCTTTCTCACAAAAGTCTTCCTTACCCCCAGTCTCCCTCCAGCGACAGCCCCATCTCTCAGCTCTGCTTGTGACAATCACTGTCTCCACCTTCTCGCCTCAACCACCCGAGGTAGGCTTTTGCCCCACTACCAGAGTGATCACTCCCAAAACTCTGTAATCCCAGCAATTTGGAAGGTAGAGGTGAGAGGATTGCCTTAGCCCACGAGTTCAAAACCAGCCTGGGCAACATGGTAAGACCTCGTCTCTACAATAAATTTTTAAAAAATTAGTGCAACATGGTGGTGCATGAATGAAGGAGGCCAAGAAGAAGATACCAGTGAGGTGTGAGGAAGATTTTTGTGAGAAAGGAGATATTTGTGTGCTGATGTGAATGTCCCAGTAGGGAGGATTGATGCCTGCCCAAAACCCTTTGTCTTCCTGGAGCTTAGGACCCCACACCCTTTGGCTTTCCTCCCACCTCACTGGTATCTTCTTCTTTCTTGGCCTCCTTCAGTGGATCTCCTCCTCCTCTGATGACCTCTAAATGCTCATATGCCCTTATGCTTGTTTCTGGGCTTCTCTGGTCTCTCATATGCTCCTGCACTCACACAGCTTTTTTCTTTTTAAAAATTAATTAATTCAATTTTTTTTCTGAGTCAGAGTCTCACTCTGTCACCCAGACTGGAGTGCAGTGGCATGCTCATAACCACCACAGCCTCGACCTGCTGGGCTCAGGTGATCCTTCCACCTCAACCTTCCAAGTAGCTGGAACTACATGCATGCACCACCATGTTGCGCTAATTTTTTTAAAATTTATTGTAGAGAGGAGGTCTTACCATATTGCCCAGGCTGGTTTTGAACTCTGTGGGTTAAGGCAATCCTCTCACCTCTACCTTCCAAAGTGCTGGGATTACAGGTGTGAGCCACCACGCCCAGCTAATTAATTAATTTTTGAGTAGGAGTCTCACTCTGTCACCTAGCCTGGAGTGCAGTGGCACACTCATGGCTACCGCAGGCTCAACCTCCTGGACTCAGGGGATCCTTCCACCTCAGCCTCCCTAGTAGCTGGAACCACAGGTGTGTGCCACCACGCCCAGCTAATCTTTTGATTTATTGTAGAGACAAGGTCTTGCCAAGTTGCCCAGGCTGTTCTCAAACCTCCAGGCTCAGGCAATCCTCTTGCCTTAGCTTCCCAAAGTGCTGGGATTACAGGCTGAGCCACCACGCCTGGCCTTTTTAAATTTTTTGTAGAGAAGGTCTCACTACATTGCCCAGGCTGGTCTTGAACTCCTGGGCTCAAGCAATCCTCCCACCTTGGCCTCCCAAAGTGCTGAGATTACAGGTGTGAGCCACTG